GAACAAATGTTTGTACACGTATAAGGGGACTGTGATTGAACATGCATATTTAATGTATAAACATAGATACTATAAATAGATAGAAACCTAAAGTAGTACTAAATATGTTTTATTAACCGTATGTCTGGTTTTAACACCTCCAGGTAAATTTCTAAGAAATTAATTAAATTTCTAAGAAATCTATTGTTGACTGACAGGCCGGCGTGTCCGCGGTCGTGGAGGGATTATTGACATTAAAATTATTCGTCAGATATTTTTTTTAGAAAAAATAGCAAATCACCGGGTTCAATATTAAAAATAAGGATCTAGCACTTTTGCAAAAAAATAATTATAAAGAAACGCGAAAGAATGGTTTATCTGTTTGTAATAAGTTCGAACCCGGTACCTGGTACGGTATTAGTGTTGCTAATGAGATACACTCCAACATAATAATTCACTGATTTCCAATGAATAATCAGTCAACTGATTAAATTACAGAACGTATATCTATATATTAATATATTCTTTTGTTTTATTTATAAGGCCCCTGCACAGTGCGAGTCGACCCCCCATATGTGACATTAAAATTATTCCTGGTTAGCTTGCGTGGGGGACTATTTCTATAAACAATGGTATGTCACCTAATTGTCTTCAAGCTTGTTTATATTATAGAAGAAAATTTTATTAAACACGAGAATTTGCTTCAAAGATTCTGTAATTATGTCGTATAGGTCAGTTTTATTAGTTTTCCTTGTATTAAATCATATCAAATTAGTGGCAGTGGTAGCCCAGTGGTAACGCGCTCGCTTGGGCAACCGATTGAAGCGGGTTCAAATCCCGGGTCTCGCACCTCTGATATTTTCATGTGCGAATCATTTCTAACATGATTACCACTTGCCTTACGGTTAAGGAAAACATCGTGAGGAAACCCGCATGTCTGAGAGAACTTAACAAGTTTTCGAAAGACATGTGAAGTCTGCCAACCCGCACTTGGCCAGCGTGGTGGACTATGGCCTGATCCCCCTCGTATTAAAAGGAGGGCCGAGCCCAGCAGTGGGACGTTAAAAAGGGCTGAATACTTGTATTAAAATTTTCTGTTTAAAATGTTGACTGAAACATTAGTAGGCATATATCTAGATAAGCTAGCTACATTGATAAGACATACATTGTTATGGTGAGAAGCTCATTAGCGTCCGGCAATCCAACCGGGCGTAAAGCCAAAAGACCTGGAAGTAGTCCACTCCGGTGGGCGGTGTATGAACATGGAAATCTATTTTATAAATTCAGCGGAAAACGATTATAAAAGACGGAAATCAGTTATTAAGATCATCACCGTCATAATCATCATATCGTTATTAACATAAAACATGATAAATTATGAGTACAAATTATGTATATGTATGTATGTGTGTATGTATGTATGTATGTATGTATATATGTATGTATGTATGTATGTATATTTGTTACTCTTTTACGCCGAAACGGCTTGCGGTAACGAATAAAACAAAACATTTTTGAAAAACTAAATGCATCCAGTAGTACCTTCAAGATACGTAGTACGGTCCATAACGTTAAGGCTAATTGACACCCTCAGAAGCGTTCTATTGCTTCAAAATGATATTTCACAGTCAAACCTCCGTTTCTAATTAAGCACATGTTAAAATTATAAAAGATGATTAATTATACATTGATTTATTATAACTTTTGTGGGAAAGGCGAATGCAATAAATAAAAAAAAGGACCTGCAGATGGTCATAATCGTTATAGTTAAATGACGCGTGACTAACAAAATGTTTTAATGCTAATGACTTCCAAAGTTAACAAACCGACGTCAAAAGTTTAATTTAATTTTAAATTTTAACTGTCTGACATATTAGGGTCTAGCTGGTACTACCTACTGTGATCTTTCTACCATGGATTGCAAATCCAGGCTATTATCGTCTCACTTATATTATAATTCTCGCACAATACAAAATAAGTCCTTTTAGAGTCCTGTTATTACAACTGGGCACAGTCTACCACTCAATATGAGGAGGGTGAGGCTAGGTCCACACCGCGGGCTGAATTTTAGTTAGAGGATATGTCTTTCGAAAACTAGTTAGGTTCTCTCAGATGTAAAGTTTTATATACGATATTTTTCTTTACCGATAGGCAAGTGGTAATCATGTATAAAATTATCCATATACATATATGAAAATCTAAGAGGTACAAGACACGGGGTGTGAACCCACGTTACTTGATTTTTCAAGCGCACACGTTACAGCTAAGCTAGAATTACCTCTGGATAGCTTATTCGAGTAACAAAATTAGTATTCAAAACTTATATACAATAATATAATCTTTGAATAAACTATCGACCGACACTTTTGACGTCTGCAGTTTTAAAAATTAAAAAAAAGTATGTGTATACTTATATAAGAAGTTATACTTCTTTGGCATAACAGAACAAGAATAGCTAAAGATTTCATCCCGTATGTCACAACTTTCCATTTGTAAAAACAATGCAGCTAAATTTATCACGTCGCTTTCTGCTAATCATGTCGCTTTTTGGCTGTCGGTTTGTGCGCGCATCGTAAAAATTTGACTCTCATAATTTTTTCCAAATTATTTTCCAAAAAAAAAGTCCATAAAATAATAATTGGTATGTAACTTCAAAAAAGACGCTTTTTGTTTTCAACTTGTTAGGTACATAATGTAAAGCAATAATACTAAATTATTTCATTACTTGACTTTCAAAGTTAACGCCGACATCAAATATTAAACCTGTAATTATAATTTTTTAGACCGCTACCTGCAAGTTTTTATGATGGCCTGAAGATATATGGCGGTCGTAAAAAACAGTTTTTTCGCCATACCCATATGGTGCAGTGATTAACATAAGCAGATTCAAAATAAATTACTTTTCGATAACAGAACATAACAGGTTCAAAAGTATTTTTTTTTCTTTTAACGCTCAATCTTAACGTAAATATTATTCCTTCGATAATGAACTAAATTTGTAGGATGTGTAGAAATTATGTGAGTATACAATTCATGATACTAATTTAAATATTTCATAATAAAAAAATTACATAATTTTTAAGTATAGCTATACATACTATACACAAAAGGTCTATTTTTTTCAACGTATGTATCAATCAATGTATCACATGATGTTCTCCTAGCCGATTCCGGCCACGGCGGCCAATCTCAATGAGATTAGCCAACTGCGCAGGAGATATTATAGTGCTCAAGTGTACGAGCAGACACAAGTGCACTCTCTATTCCTATCGCTCTCATACTCCGGTGGGACGACCACTCGACACGACCGGTGAGAGTTAAGGCGCTGGACCGACGGCTTTACGTGTTCTCCGAGGCACGGGGGTGAAACACCACCAACTTCCCAACTCCGGGCTGTTACTGAGACTTACTATACAGTAAGACTCAATAACTAAACTTGGCCCGACCCGGGACTCGAACCCAGGACCTCCGGGTGTGCAGCTGTACATGCTAACCACTACACCACCGAGGCAGTTGAGTTGTCTATACACATAAACATATAATAAAGCAGTAACTAAGCAAAATCGATGGGCGCATTTCACGCAAAAAGTACAGAACTGATTTTAACTAAATTTTGTGTAGTAACTTACTACTCGGGTCAACATTTAGGATACCTTTTACTACAGGAAAATCTCTGATTCCCACGGGAAAATATAATAACTGGTTCTATCGAGTTGTTCTTAGAAAACACGTCTAACGCTGGCTAAACCTTAAGAGATACATCAAAACAGTGTACTAAAAAATTGTAGGTCTTAATAAGGCCTACAGAAAAATCGCATAAGTCTTTCTACTAAGGTACACTCACAATAACTATTCATATCTATGTAAAACGTACGTAGGGCAAAGTTAGGGTAGGTAATCTCTGGATCTACTGAACAGATTTAGATGAAATTTAGTAAGAAGATAGTTTAAGACCCTGGGAAGGACATAGGATACTTTTTATCCCGGAAATCATCCCTTCTGAGTTGCTAGTGTACAATAAAATCCTTTGAGATATAACTTATTACTTAAAAAAATCATGAATTGCTTTACAGCTAGCGAAGGTATGGCGTACCATCCTCTTATATAAGTCAGCCAAAAATTACTACAATTAAAAAGCTCTATAACAAACCACGTGATGTCATACCGTATGTAGAGATATATAGACAATATAAAGACCTTCATATTAAGCGTAGTCGTTAGTTTCAATTAATTTATTCAATCAAACAATGTCTGTCCGACGAATATTTTATGAGAGACTAAATAACTATCTAAATAGTTCGTCTATCTTTATATACATATATATATATGTATATGTATGTATATATGTATATATATATATATATATATATATATATATATATATATATATATATATATATGAATATAAATCCTGACTGAATCGGCAGAGCCACTAGACCAAGATTGCTAATATTTTGATAGTGTATTCCTATAGCAGCATAAATAAGCAGTTAGGTTCCAATAATGTAATGTGAGCCTGATAAATAATTTTTACAATTTTTGATTATCTGTTTAATCGCGCATCACTAAAGAATAGAAAGATTTCAATAAAACCTCATTGATAACACGCTTATACTAGCTTTAGCTTAGCTTTGTAACAAACTACATACATATGTAATTAAATACTGAAAGTCGATTTTAATCTAGTTCTATCTAACTTATTGGTTTCAATTAAGATATTTCAAATTTTGTTAAAATATAAAGTACTTGTCGAAAAATATTAATTTGATACCATTGAGCTGATGTGAAAATTTATAGTGAAACTGCTCGTAAAACTTTAGATTTTGGGCGATTTCATTTGAGTTCAATTTTGATTATTTTTTTTTTTGTTTTTTTAAAACCTAAAGTGATAAACCAAATTATAAGCACACTTAAGTTTCATTTATACAGTTTAAGTGTCTACAAAGACACTGCTAGGACTTTTTATTATTATATTACATTAAAAAAGATTGACTACGTATACACTATATCATTATACTTACAAGCAAATTCTATAAACACTCCCTGACTTCGTATCTTTCCTTTGCTATTCCACGCATAGCATTCACAACTGTACCTCCCACCAAAGTACTCATCCAACTCATTTCTTGTTACATTTAACTCAGCTTCAACCACTCTGACACCATTTTGAGGATCCACGTGTTCTAACTGAATCGTTTTATCTGTCCTTACATCATTACATTTAAAAAATACTTGCAAAGCATTTGCAGCTCTACATAGCAAAGTTGCTGGCTTACTCCTCAGTACATAGGAATTTTTTGGTTCGATCAAAAATATTGGTAGCCCATCAATAGTTTCGTCGTTTTCTGGTAACGGTATGTAGTCATCTTCTTCCACTACTGGCTTGAAGTCAGATAAGTATGGATCGAAGTTCAAAAGACCATCAGGGTGGATATACTCTGGACGCGTTTCTTTTTCCGTCGTTTGGTCTGTACCTGAAATAACAATGTTTATTTAGCAAAATAATATATGACAATTTTAATAATGCTATGTGTTAGAGTACCATAAGATACAGTATAAATACTTTAGAACCAACGTAGCTTTAGTTGTATATAGTACTGAAATCAAACCGCAAATTAGCTGATATTTTATTATATTTAGCTGGCTACTCAGCGACCACGATGTTCCTATAAATGACTGTATCGACGGTAGACGGTAGTCACGGTTGCAAGTGACCACACCTTGTCACCGTGATAATAAAATTCTGAGTCGAATCTGTACATTTAATATTTCTTGGAAAATCTTATTGAAATAGTCATTAACACCTCCAGGTAAACTTCTAAGAAATTAATTAAAATTCTAAGAAAGCTATTGTTAACTGACACGCCGGCGTGTCCGCAGTCGTGAAAGGATTATTATTGATACAGAGGCCGAATCTATAGTTTTTAGAATTTTTATCTGTCTGTCTGTGACCGCATCACGAGAAAACTACTATACAGATTTTGATGTGATAGCTGGTTATCCGGATCAACATATAGGATACTTTTTATTGCGGGAAAATATCTCATCTCTGAGAAATCTATACTAAACTTTAAAACGTAACTAGGGATGTACCAGAGCGGAGCCAAGGTGAGTCGCTAGTACAGTGTATAGTTGCTGCTATGCAATGGTCTCGGCCACTTTCTTCTGGTGCGCATAAACTTAATAGCAAGTCCTCATACACAAACACTAGCGACTTCGCTCGGGTACATCCCTAGGTGCCTAACAAAAACCGATAAAGTAACTCAACGACCATTTTTTTCCACTAAAAACGTGCATATCGGAATAAAAATATATAACACATGGTTGTAATGCAGCTTCCTATTAGTCAATTATTGGGTCAGTAGTTTTAGTAATTACCCTCTCCATACAAACTTCACCTCTTTATCTATACTAATATTATAAAGAGGTAAAGTTTGTGAGTTTTTGACGTTGTAGGGGGTAATCTCTGGATCTACTGAACCGATTTAAATGAAATTTGGTAAGAAGATAGTTTGAGACCCTGGAAAGGACATAGGATACTTTTTATCCCGGAAATCATCCCTTAATAGGGTAAAAATAGGGATAAAAGTTTGTATTGGGAAGCAAGCTAAGGACGAACCCGAGCAAAGCGATGGTGAGTTACTAGTAATATATGTAAAGAAATAAGAATAAGAAAAAACTCTGCTTCTTCCTTATACACGTATTAATCGATTTCGGTTTCAAAAAAAAGGTATTTAGAAAAATTCTTATGGTCAATATCGTATATAAAGTATTAACTTTCAACATCAGATAGTTCAAGTTACAAATATTATCGAATTTTTAACCGCAAGAAAAACCTATAAGGTAAGTAATTGGGTTTAAAAGTAATATGAGCCGTATAGCCCCTTAGGGATTACGCGGTTAGGCTGAGATGGAGAGTTCGTGTATCGGAAAATTAATAGTCTAGATAATTTTTGTATATATTTCATAGAAACGGTACTTAAGTTTTAAATTTATGTAAAGACTAGCATTGCCCGCGGCTCCGCCCGCGTTCAGATGACCAAAAACCAAATTCTTAGGTTTTACATATTAGTATACTCTTACATTGCAGTTTTTGTATTTTTTCTCAGAAATGAGATATTTTCCCGCGATAAAAAGTATTCTATATGTTGACCCGAATAACCAGCTATCACCATCCAAATTTCATCAAAATCCCTCCAGTGGTTTTTCCGTGATGCGGTAATAGACAGACAGACAGACAAAAAATCTGAAAACTATAGATTCGGCATCTGTATCGACAATAATGTCTATTGCTATAAGATTTTCCAAAAAAAATTTTAATGTACAGATTCGGCTTAGTTAGAATTTTATTATATTATGTATGGATACGTAAGCTCTTTTATGCTAGCTTCTATCCAACCACGGCGAAGTCCAACAGAGGGTTATATGTATAACTTGTATGTATGTATGTCTTGTATGTATACGTATATATCACTGATCCTATACAACTGTGTAATACTATAGGTATTCCTTCGTCTTGTGCCCGTCCTTTTAATTCGCTTTTTATGCAGTCAGGTTTTCAGTTTTGCTTACAGTTACTCTGAGTGAACAAAAAGAGATATTATTCTAATCAAAAATATTCAATAAGCATTACATATAATACATTTGTGAATCGAATCTGTACATTAAATATTTTTTAGAAAATCTTTTTGAAATAGTCATTATTATCGATACAGAGGCCGAATCTATAGTTTTTAGAATTTTTGTCTCTCTCTCTGTCTGGGAAAGCATCACGAGAAAACTACTAGACCGATTTTGATGATATTTCGTATGAAGGTAGCTAGTTATCCATTTCAACATATAGGATACTTTTTACTGCGGCAAAATATCTCGTTTCTAAGAATCTATAATAACCGTTAAACCGCACCTAGTTTTACAATAAGCATTAAGTAATCAATAAACTCAAAATATATCTTCCCCAGCGACGCGACGTTTATAAATACAATAACAATAGAAAACAACTACTACAAATAAACAATAATAGAAATGACATGCGATAACCTTTGTAGTGGATTTAGTTAGTTTATGTTTTCGACTTTACTTACGAATTACATCTATGTTTATTTAATTCCATATAAAATGATATATAATTTAACATAAACTTTCTTTAACATAAAATTCTTGCATCAAAATTCTTACTTTTAGGCCTACACATCTGATATGGAAGTACAGAGTTAGTCAATGCCTAGGATTTAGATTTAGTTTTACAGATTGAGAGACACTAAATAATCCATACTAATATTATAAATGTGAAAGTATGTATGTTTGTTTGTCCTTCTTTCACATCGAAACGGAGTGATTGGCGTGGTTTTTTGTTTGGAGATAGTTGGAGAGCTGGAGAGTGACATAGGCTACTTTTTACCGCGGGAGATTATCTAATTCCCTCGGGATAACACGTTATAATACAATCCAAAAATTATTTATCATCAGAATTACTTGAAACTTGGTATTATTGCTCTTCAATAAAATTAAATAAATACGTGTTCAAGCATTTTTCGAAATATACGTGTTTAAGCATGTTTCGTCCTATAAGGGGGTAAAATAGGGGATGAAAGTTTGTATGAAACTACCTTTTTAAAGATTTTTTGTAGTTTTAGCGCGAGCAAGCTGCGGGTTCTGCTAGTATTATATACATATAATAATATAAATAATATCTAATATATTTCAAGTTTTGATAATGAACACAAAAATTTATTACAATTTTATTTACATGTATTGCTTAATGCTTATTAAACATAGTATTATAATCTATATTAATATTGTAAAGAGGTTAAGTTTGTAAGTTTGTGACGTTGTAGGTAATATCTGGATCTACTGAACCTACATCAGATTAAATTTTGTGAGAAGATGGTTTGAGACCATGGGAAGGACATAGGATACTTTTTATTCCGGAAATCATCCCTTAAAGGGGTGAAAATGCGGATGAAAGTTGTATTGGGAAGCAAGCTAGGGACGAACCCGAGCGAAGCGACAGTGAATCGCTAGTGTAGTATAATTTTGCAAACATCTAGTCACATTAACATAATATACTAAGGCCATAGTAATACAAAGTACTTCGACTTTTTTATTATTCCATACACAAGCAAAGTCTTGTTGCAAAGTAAAAATAATGTAAACGACACCAAAGAGCATTAATTTTATATTTTATAGGTAACTTACTATAATTTTGATTGAAATATTAATTGTTAATATTGACGAAATTAGAAATCCTTTATATTACCTCCATTCCGAACTTTTCCCAAAGACACTATAAGCACTACGATCCGGAAGACATTACACATCACTAGAACTTTGCTCAACACTATCTCATGTCAAAATTTTGAATCACACACGAAAATTTTCATTGAAAATTTCTTAAAATACAAATATAACACTCGTAATTTATTATTTTGGGCAACACGTCCACCCCCTTTAAAAGCTCGAGGCATACTAAGGTGTTCTGATTCGTGTTCATGGTGTTTGCTTCCATGTGTGATGTGACACTTGATATGTAATTAAAATACTATGGGAAGTACTTCCCTTGTATAACAAAGCTTTAGCAAGAAGATTTTTAAAAGCTCTCTAATAATACATTTGTAAAGTAAGTTTGAGCTTAATGGTAATGCTTGATTGTAAAAAATAATTATCGTGTGGTTTTAAAATAATGTACTATTAAACTCGTAGCTCAGCAATATAATAAGACTTTTGTTTTTAAAGGATTTCTATACGCTCTACGCTCTACATATAAAATTTTGCATATAAAGAAAGACCTATATATATTGTAATTGCCTACTACAATCATAGTTCCTGTTAATAATAAATATTTAAAATTTAATTTGGTTAAATTGTATTATTTTCATATAGAGCTCAAACTATATAAGTATTTTTAATTCCAAAAAAAATATATGAAGAAACATAAATATTACGTAAAATGAATAAATCACAAATAATAAATATCTGATATTTATTAGAAACAAGAAAATATTTTTACTTTTACTATTTTTACTTTTAAAAAATGTGCAGGCTAATAAAAAAAAGAAAAACTTATTTAACAAACGGTTATAAGTAGCGCCATCTATTGAACTAATTGTTAAGCAAGCACACATTTTATATACTCCAAAGGCCATGTAAAGCTTTAAGTGTTTTGACGTAGTTCATAATGTTACAAATAGATGGCGCTTTTAATAAAAGAAAATCGGTCAATTGTAATTCAGAGTCACGGATCAAGGGTCTCGTACCATCATAATATAATATATTTTATTATTAAAATTACGATTAAACGATTAACTAAAAAACCTTATGATTATTTATTTCATAAGGCGTTATGAAATAGTAGTTGAAATCTTTGAAGCTATGGGAATTTTTGTTTTAATTTATTATTTGTCCGGGTCACACCAAGTTTTATGCTTCTAAATATACAACGGTTTTATAAGAAGATAAAAAACTGAAATCAGACGGACTACGAAGACATTTTTCATAATATGTACTATATTTTTTATTTAGTATACATACTAGGATTACGTCCGGGTCCTTTAGATAATAGGAACGGAACCCCTAAAAACCTCATTACTATCTCATCGACCAATATTACTGTTCATTCATTGTATTATATTTAAACATGTAAAGCTATACATAAATATGTAAAGCATTTAGCATATTATAATTTATGTAAAGCAGGCAGGGGTAAGTTGGAATATTATTTCTTTAAAGTTTAAATGAAGCCTTGATCTTATGTCAGATAAATAAAATTTGCTCACTATTCTCCATAAATTGGTGTTATTTTGAATAATAGTTGTAGAAAAAAATAATTAGTAAAGATTCGTTTTATAATTACTGTAAAAGTTTAGTCTAAAATCTGGTTTTTATTATTTATTTTTATTAAAATCCTACTTTGGAACTACTAAAAATCGCTTAACCACAGATCATACAATACTATATTAGACATACTAGGGGTTAAATCGATTGATATTAAGGTCCTCGACCCTCCAACATACATAGTGCTTTGATCCATCATGTTACACACTGTATAGCCACATATATTGTGATTCTTCAGTCCATGAGTCATATACTCCAAGGTTTGTGTTTTTAGGATCTCTTCCTTCCAAAGAAAAATTGAAGTATTTCAGGTTATCTCGTGTATTATTTGTTTTATCACTTGCTATTCTATGTATATAGAACTAGGTGGACCTAATGATTGACGCCTAACATAAACAAACAGATTGTAATATTGTGGACTTTTGGAATTCTGACTGGAAATTAAAATGCAAACTTGTAAAAAGTGTATCATTTTTCTTTACTTTAATATGTATATTCATATACCTACATACAGATGGCGTAAGTAAAATGAACAATTTTAGGTTAAATAAATACTTATAAAATAGCATTTTAAGCTATTTCATAGCTTCTATCGCGGGGCTTGAGCGTGGGGACCGAATCCAGAAATTCCGTAACGAAAAAAACCTGACACCCCCCACTCCGACCGGCACAGCGGTGATACTTTTTTCCATCTATCGATAAATACCAGAACTTTTAATGACTTTTTGAAATATCACGCTTGTCTCTTTAGTTCAGCAACCCGCCTTTAGGTGGCATTGGTTGTATTGGAAAACTACCGTAATCAGCTGTTTGTGAGAATAAACAAAGTGCATTTATTAATGAAGAAAGTCAAGGAAAAAAAGTACTGCATTAATAAAATAAATAATTATAATTGCATAAGTTGTTAAAAAATGCTATGCAATAGCTTTACCGCGGCAGTCTCCGAGTGCCACACGTCTTTTTTTTAATAAATTTAATAGGTAATTATTAAGTTTAAATTAATAATACTATTATAAGAATATTTTATTACCTAGTAAAAGCTATTAGTAATAATTCAATAAAAACGCGACATCTACGCAATGTGATATTAAATTTCATTTGTAAATTGCAAATAAAATTTGAAAAAGCGCCATCTATGCAGTTTACTCTATACTTTCTTTTCTAATATGAATACTTCAAGACGTATCCTTCTATATATCTCCTTTATTTTTTTATTGTAGTTTAGCTTAAAAAACACAGATGGAGCTGAATATATAAATATAAATAAGCTGTGTATATAAATATGTATACTAGATAGTATTATATGATCTGTGATTATTTATCATGCAATCTTCATTGGAATTAAATTTTATCGCAGAAACATCGATCGCATAAAATACTATAAAAACTTATAAATAATAAGCTAATAACATATTGTAATGAATATATTTATTTATTAGAAGTGACATTAACAATTTACAGTATCACATTACTTGTAAATAACATACTTAATAAATATTGCTAATAATTGTTGTATTTATGCAATAATTAATTTTCAATATTTTAAATTAGATAATATTGCCATCCATTGGCGTTATTGTATACTACTACAAATAAATGAATTATAAGGAAGAAGCGGTTTAAATGCTAGAACATAGATGGCGCTACTAGTTCACAAAACCCTGAACTTTAAACTTACATTTCCTTGAAATAGATGGCACTACCGTTTTATTCTGCTGTACAACGAAATGTAAAATATATGAGAACCTCCTCATTTTTGAAGTCGTTTAAAAACGAATATTTTCTTAACACATTCTTAGATTTACGCGAATATTTGACATTTTAAATGAAACTATGTTTTTGGATAAATTCGCGAATTTATTTTAATTTTTGGTTCGCAACGTTTTGAATGGTGCCAATAAGAATAACCGTATTATGCCATAGCCGACAATATTTTAAGATATGAATATCTAATAGGTAAATATGTATTTTACGTATCAATTAAATTAGATTTGATTTACATAGGCTGGCACCGACTTCGAAAATATCTGATTAGATATCTATTCTAAATGAAAACCTCCTTTTAGTTATTTTTTACATTTTAGTGCCTGGAAGTCGGTTTTTTTTAAGTTTTAACTTTTCAAATAAAAAAAAATAGCTTTAACCATACCGACCAAATTTCTTTTTTAAGAAAAAGTATAGGTACCTTTTTATACTACCATAGTTTTATGTCATCTGTCATTTTCCTTTCAGGTGAATTTCTTGTTTTTATTTGTCTATCTTCTATAATTTTTATAAATAGGTATGATATTTTGCAAACTTGATGTTCTCCCGACCGATTCCGGCCACGACGGCCAATCTCATTGAGACTAGCCAACTGCGCAGGAGATATTATAGTGCACAAGTGTACGCGCAGACACAACGTGCACTCTCTATTCCTGTCACTCTCATACTCCGGTGGGACGACGCGAGACACGACCAGTGAGAGTGTCGGCGCAGGACCGACGGCTTTACGTGCTCTCCGAGGCACGGGGGTGAAACACCGCCAACTGCCCAACTCCGGGCTGTTACTGAGGCTTTACTTATACAGAAAGACTCAATAACTAAACTTGGCCCGACCCGGGACTCGAACCCAGGACCTCCAGGTGTACAGCCGTACATGCTAGCCACTACACCACGGAGGAAACTTAACGAATACAGTATAGGTACTTAATTGCATTTGTTTTTCTAAAAGGCAAACACAAGTTTTTTAACGACAGGTAAGTTATTTTGAGAAACCTAATCGTCCAGGACTGAATATTTTATCATTTTTTCACAGACGATTTGGAATTCAAAGCGATGTTTAAATTCCTCAAGCACTACTGCCAACATTGAATATTGATTGCACAAAAGGCGAACCAAAGCGTATTTCCAATTCAGAATAATTCGCTCCTTTTGATGATTCAAAATATGTAAGTAGCCTGAATCGTCACATTTTTACATATTACTACTACAAAAAATTGTACCGTCTGATGTCTGTCCAAGATATTGTACGATATTCTTTAAATATGCTTGGGAATTGGGAATATATATATATATATATATATATATATATATATATATATATATATATATATATAAATTTAATTATGATAAAATTATATAAAGAAAGTATTTAAAATAAATGTAATGTGTATGTATGTCTTGCTTTATCTTATTAGAAGTCTACGTGTTGTTAAGAATTTATTGGTTAAGACGGTTCTTGAATATTAGATGATCGGTTCCAAAAATCGATTAGAAGTAAAGAAAAGCTCGTAACTAAAGCTTGTGTAAAAATAACTTAGAGTAAAAGCTCCCTCTCGTATTGAGGTGCGGAAATTCAAATTTTGCGCTCTAGCTCGCCTTTCCGCAAAATTTTCAAGTATAATGAGCCTTAAAGGTTGTGCAATCAATAGAAGTAGGAAAGGTTATCGAAAATATTTTGATTTGAATACTCTATATGTACTTACATAGAGATCTTCTCATCCTT